GGTAACTATTTGTTTTCATGCATGCAACCCAACTCATTTTCAGACCAATCCAGACCATCCACTGAAGTATCAAATCTCACAACTTCCCAGCTCTATGTCTCTTCCACCCAAATTGTTCCCTCATCTCTGATGTTTTCGTTTAAATCAGTGGTCATTTTATCGCGATGACAATTTCTGAAGCCGCTCTCAAGAGAAATAAAAAAACACCCAGACAGAAGTAGGGAAGGAATGAAAAGCATGCATTTGAGTTGGGGAAGCGATTAACCTAAAAACTTCACTTTAATCAACTCACATTCCATAAATCTGATCAATTTTTCCATCTGGCTGGTTGAACGTGGACGAAGCAGCTACGAGCCCATTCATCAAACCATGGCCAACGAAGACCTGGAAATAGTAAGCTCATTCGAAAATTCTGTAATATTTATTTCGCTTGAAGGAGCAGTGCCGTTAATAAGTCAGTCCGTGACCGAGTTTGTCGGGTGACTGAAACCATATGAGTATTTTCATCTGCTCAATCTGAATGCCTCTTCCCTTCAAGAAAAGGTTTCGAAGGAAAAAGGTATTCTAGGGAAAAACGCAGGAATTTCGGATATCAATTGTATCCTACTAATTATTCGCTCCTAGTAAAATAGTCTCCAATGTTTAGTAGAGGTCTGAGTTGGAAATTTCTTAAGCATGATTGAGAGCAGTTTAAGAACAATAGAAGAGAGGCAAACAAACCTCGACAGAGCCAAGTTCTGCGGACAATAGGGGCCCAGCCGTAACCGTTATACCTTATGAGCCCATCATGAAAGTGCACATTTGCACTAATTGCTCCAAGCCCAAAAGACGAGCAGTAATTGCGTGGGTACTACAAGCTTAGACATAAACTAGCAATGCTTATGGGACGATGACACGAAGTCGACGGTATTGCCAGCTTATGCGGCTTGCGCAGCCACTCAACGACAAGCAAGAAAGCATACAAGCAGTGTATAAAAATGAAAGTATACACCAAAAGAATACCTGCCAGTCTCCAAAATCGCAGCAGTCGAGATCAGGATTAGCGTCGGCGAACTCCAACGAAGAAGCTGGTTTCAGCGTGCGAGCATAGCTACCAACTCGCAGACAGCGCAATAATAATAGCATTTCTAAAATAAAAAACGTGAGTTCTTGATGCGATTTAGCGAAATGGGAGTTATACAGGGGGAGGCGTAATAA